AGACGCAGAGGAGGGAGGACGACGACGGCTTAGAGGAGGGAGGATCTCACTGACAGAGACGAAGTGGACGTCAAGAAGGACAAGGCGGAAAGGGGTGCAGGGTGTTGGTCACGTTGTGAAAGGTATGACACGTCACCCCGATGACAGCACCCTCGACAGCGTTGTGTACTCAATGTCACCCACCCTTGCATGTTTTTTTTTTTTTTTTTTTTCCCGGACCCCGCTATGTCCGAAAGGTTCGGATCATGTCCGGAAGTCCGGACGTCCGGACCATTCCGGACGTACGTCCGGTTTTGGGTACGGTCCGGTCCGGGTCCGGGTCCGGCGTAACCATGCTTTAGACCCAATGGAGTGGACATGGACTTTTCCCTCCCGAAGGGGCAAGACATGTATCACAAAATTACACAGCATAACAGTCAAATCAACGTACAAATTACTCCATCCCACGAATAATCTACGGGAGCAGGCGGAGGCTAGATGGATGAAGCACCTGAACATTAGCAAGGAATCACTTTGGGGAATCAAATGGTTCCAACTAATCAAGACGAAACCTGTGAAACTGGCCTCCCTCCAATGGCAGGTGGAACATCACTGCCTACCAACGAATGACTGGCTGATAGACAGGACATCCTTTGAACAAAGTAGGCGAGCCCTGCCCGCAAACTTTGCTCTGATTCCTTGAATTTCCTTCCCATCCAGGAAAAGGCCAGAAACAATAGAACATATCTCCCTGCAATGTCCAGGAGCAATCTGGCTCTGGCGCTGGTGAGACAGGATCTGGGGCCAGCTTGAAGTAACGACAGTGGCCATGGGATTGGAGAGCATTGCTACTAGAAACATGGCCTGCAGAACAGGTGGACGACTTCACCCACAACATCTTTAAATTGGGACGTAGGGCGGTGCTATGGGCGCTTTGGAGACGCCGTTGCACATTAGAGATGGAAAGGGTGAGACTGGAAGGCCCCGAATTCACTGAAACCATACAACAACAAATTCAAACGGTGATAGCAACTCACTGGGAAGATGTCAAAGCCCAAATCTGCCACACACATACACAACAGGACACAGACCAAAAAGTGCACGACTTCTGCACAAGATGTCTCGGGGGGAAAGGGGGGGAAAGATAGGGAGGGTGGAAAGGAACACAGGGAGGAACCAAGAGGAGGAAGGGTTGAGCAAAGACTATCGGCTGTATTTCCATGAGTGGACCAAGGTGGACTCCTCAATTCCAATGAGAACAATGTCTATCTTTGGTTCTTTAAAAAAAGAATAGAACGACTGGCGCCTACGATCACCTATCTGAAATCGAACAGATTCTCAAACTATAGCTAATGCTCCTTTGTATAATTTGTTTGGTTGTTCTCTGTGGTACCGCGGCACCTGTGCTATGACTTCCCTGACCCCTTCCCCCCCCCCCGACCAATAGTCTGGTGGATTTGAGATGGTACGGGAGCTAGAGAGGAAAGGGGGAGCAGGCATGAGACAAAGGAAGAGAGGGTAGGACGGGGCTTGGTATACTTATCTAGGGACTGGGGATGATAAGGGAAGGGCGGAATTAGCGTGTAGCAGCAAGTATCTGGCGCCGAAGAGTTTCTCCCCCCCCCCCCCCCCCCCCTTTATCCCCTTTTTCATGCCCTGCTCAGTCAACCCCCCTTTTATCCAGGGCAATCAATGCTGACAGGAATCTCCCTCAATTGGTTCTCTAATGTACTCTAAATCCAGTCATTATCAGGCATTAAAAGGAGGTGACAGTTTGGACTGGGTCTGATAGGGGAAGGGAGGAACTAGTGTGTAGCTGCAAGTATCTGGCGTCCGGTTCTGGGCGAAGAGGTTCTCCCTTTTTTTTCCTCCTTTCAGGCCCAGCTCAGTCAATCCCCTGGTTTCCAGGTCAATCAATTCTGGCTTCCAGGCCAATCAATGCTGGCAGGAACCTCCCTCAATTGTTTCTCTAATGTGCTCTGAGTTTAGTATGTAAATGGGACGCTGGACCCGATTTCCAGCAGGTGATGCTCCCCACCAATAGATGGAGCCTCTCCCCAGGTGCTAGGGGTGTCTGCTCTTATCAACACCACTAACACTGGTGGGGGCGTTTTGAAAAAGAAAAAAAAAGGAACGGTCACCTGTTTAAAAAAAAAAAAAAAAAAAAAAGGAACGGTCATAGAAAAGTTAAGAAAACTCGTTTTTTTCCCCATGTCAACGTGCAATAGGATGAAAGAACAGGCATCAAACAGTGTCGTCCTCCAGCACAACCCCAGCCCGTTTCAGCCACGTGGAGGACTGGCCTCGTCCGCGGGAACAACCAGACATCTTCCCTCAAGGGCTTCAACTAATCCATCATTCCAGTAACTCGCTACGATGGCCAGTGCAGCTATCTCCAGAAAACAGCAACCATCTGCACACCGCAGTTATCGTTGGAATAAAGAGGACAAACAAATGAAAAATAGTAAAATACTCTATTAATAGCAGCACCTATGCAGCCACGTAACTCATCTGGCCAAGGATGCAGAGCCCAGGCCCAAACACTCACAGGCAGTGCTGGGTGCGGCACCGTCAGGAAATCTTGGAGGACGATCTATGACTATGATCACGAAGAGTAGAGGAAGAGGACAAGGAGGAGCAAGGGGAACATATGGTTAGCTGACCCCTCGTTTTTCAGTGTTTTCGATTGCCTTGTCTCACGGCACGTCGGCACCCCAAAACCATTTGAAGTTTGAACCAAACTTGTCAGCAAACTGCATAGAATGAGGGAGGATGGTTCAAAAGGTTTTGGGGTGCCGACGTGCCGCTGTACAAGGCAAGGGGTGAGGAAGAAGAGGAAGAGGGAGGATGATGATGGTGAAGAAGAAGAAGAAGAAGAAGATGGTAAGGTAAGGAGTGAGGAAGAAGAGGAAGAGGAGAGGATGAGGACAAGGGGGAAGAATGGCAGGAAGGACAGAGGAAGCAGAAGAGCACGAGAAGAGGACAAGGACAAGAGTGAGGAGGAGATGGACGAGGAAATGGAGCACCACCAGGAGCAGGAGGAGGAGGAGCAGAAGAAGCAGGAGTAGGAAAAGGGGAAGGAGGAGGGAATAAAGGAGGAGATGGAAGAGAAATGGGGTAGCACCAGCAGGAGCAGGAGCAGGAGCAGGAGCAGCAGCAGCAGCAGCAGCAGCAGCAGCAGCAGCAGCAGCAGCAGCAGCAGGAGCAGCAGCAGCGGCAGCAGCAGCAGTAGCAGCAGCAGTAGCAGTAGCAGCAGGAGTAGGAGGGAACGGGAGGAAGGAAGATAAGGCAACAAAGGAGGATTCCAAACACATTGATGATTGCATTGTTGCGTATGACACAACTTTATTTTTGTAGTACTGTGGAAGAAGAAAACGAAGACAAATGCAAAGCACTCACTTCTTATTGTCATGTAGCGCCTGACGAGCGCCACATGATCTTTCGAGATCCGAGCATGTAGGATGATGATGATATCGGTCGGGCAGCAAAAGTGTTCAAACATCCAACGGCATGCTTCGACAGTCTCTGGGGTTTTGTCACCACCAATGATAATCTTACGATTGTGAATCATCGGCACACCATCCAGCATAGTAGAGACTTCATCTGTCCGGACACCAAAGGGGTGATCAGGAGGAGCTTTCACCACTAGTACAGGGCATTGGCAATTGTGGGCGCAGTAGTCGCTGACTCTACCAATCGGGCCCCTAAAGCAAGAACAGAGAAGAGAATAGAAATCAGTCTGGAATCTGGATGCTCATCGGACAACGACAAGAAGAGAACTCAGTGCAAAAGACAAAGAAAAAGAAAAGAAAAGCGTCTCTCTTGTGCTTTCTGCTGATGTAGTGGACAGAAGGAGCTTCACCAAAACCACAGGACACAGGCGCTACCGTATTCCCCCAAACATAACGCACCCTCATTTTGGCTCTACCGCAGTCGGAAGATACCTCACATGCAAAAAGCAGAAAATTAAAAAACAAAAGAAAAGGATATCTTTTGTACTTTTTGACAAAGTAGTGGACAGAAAGAGCTTCACCCTAACCACAAGACACAGGCACTACCGTCTTCCCCCGAGCACAATGCACCCTCATTTTGGCGGTACCGCACTGCAAAGATAAAACGCACCCTCATTTTGGCAGTACCGGACTGGAAAGAGAGATTGTGTATATGTGCCTTATGTTCAGGAGAAGACGGTAGTAGCACAGATCAGCAACTGCCACATGACTCACATCACCCGGTGTTTTTTTAAGTCGATGAAAGGCGAAGGTTTCAACTTTCAACACAAGCAGTAAGCTGCCCAAGTGGCCGAATGCCACACAAATGTAACTGTTAGTAAACAGATCCTCAGGAGTTCGGATCCTCATGGATTGAGATGAAATTAATGAATTCGATAAAGTTAGAGACCAACCCCTTTCAAAAGGAATAAGGTTATGGGTTACCCTTTTCAAAAAAGAATAAGGTTAGGGGCCACCCCCTTTCGAGAGAGAAAAGAAACTTTTATGAAGTTTTATCCCAACCATCGGACTTGGCAGTTTTCACCACCGTAGTCTCTGACGCTAAGTCACTAAAAATCAAGTGCACAAGTGTCTGACAGGCTCCGACACATACTTCCTCCTCAATGTCCTCATCTCCCCCCCCTCCCCTGGAATGCCAGCTGGGGATACTATGAGGAGTTATATGAGCATCTCTCCTCACAGTAGACCTTTCCCTGGTTGCCCCGATCTATTGGTGTCCGTCCCCTGCTGGAAACCCGGTTCAGCGTCCCTTACATACAGCTTTGATCCCTGGAAGACATAACAGATCCTTCTTGAAACGCTTCAGCCTAGCCCCGGGGCCTCCTCAATGTCCTTTATCTTGTTTCTTCTATTTTCCTTCTTTCCCTTTTTCAATTTCCCCCCTTCTTTCCTCATTTTGCAATTTCATCAGTCTAGTGACCATCTAGCCCTTTCCTTCACAACACATGCCCCCCCCGCCCTGCCCCCCGCACCCTCTCCCACCTGGGTCCATTTGTTGAATTTTGTTCCTGTTTTTCCCCTCATTTACTTCTTGTTCCCCCTCTCAACCCCCCCTTCCCCCTCTCCTCAATGTCCTCACCTTGTTTCTTCTATTTTCCTTCTTTCCTTTTTTATTTCCTCATTGAGTCATTTTGCAATTTCATCACAATCTAGTGACATGCTCCACCTAGCCCTTTCCGTCACAACACACGCCCCCCCACCCTCCCCGCCCGCACCCTCTCCCCTCTGGGTCCTTTTGTTCCTGTTTCTCCCCTCATTTACCTCTCATTCCTCCTCTCCCCTCTCATTCCCCTCTCTCCCTGCCCCTACCCCTCCTATCTTGATCCCTCACCACAGACACTGCCAGTCTATCTTCAAGCGTTCCAAATTGCACAAAAAGATCGAGCAGTGCCATGCGGGCAGCATTTGGCTTGGGAAAAGGCCAGATGCAAAATAAGAAGGCCGATCTGAAAGAGTTTTCGCGGTGTGCTCCATGTCATCCAACCACCAAAGAGCGACTCCAGCCACCATGTGATTGGTGGAGGGTCCATCTAGTACAGTAGATGGTCATACCCAAAGCCCCTTGAGAGTACCAAGGTGCGTAAAACAGGTTGGGAAGGGGAGGTGGTGGAATAAAATCAAATAAAATAAAAAAGAAGAAAAACAAGAAAGGTGGCAAGTCAGCTGTGCTGTCTCTGATAAAAACAAGCGGCATGCAGCAAGAAATTGGTCAGAAACAAAACTGATGAAAGTCCTTGGAGTACGAGTGGACTGCCTTGTCGGTGCGGTGTTGCCTTGCTGCTGGGCGCCCATCCACTTTCCCTGTCCTTACAAGCTGCTTGCTTGTTGGCATTGAAGTTTGACTGCATTGTCGGTGCTGCCGTGAACTGTGAGCAGAGGAATCTCCAATACTCCAAAAGACACCAAATTTGGCACACAGCAACCTTGAAACAAAACAAAAACGGGCACCAAAAAAAAAAAAAAAAAAAGCTATTGAAAATTGAAATTTCAAATTTGACCCTCAAACCCTAATTGAAATTTCAGTTCTGGACCCGTTAAACCAAGAGCTGAAAAGTTTGAGGGTCAAATTTCAACAGCTGAAAAGTTCGAGGGTCAAATTTCAACAGCTGAAAAGTTTGAGGGTCAAATTTCAATAGCAAGGTTCCCGTTAACCACTTGTGCCTTGCTGCCTCGCTGCTTTGCTCCCCTGCTGCCTTGTTGCCTTGCTGCCTGATGCTCGTAGTGTCCCCCCTTGCCTTTGTCGTTTGCCTGCCCTGTTGCCTCTCTGCTTTGTTGCCTTGTTGCCTTGTTGCATTATGCCTTGCTGATTTCTTGCTTTGCTGCCTTGTCGTCTGCCGGCCTTGTTGATGGTGCGTGTTGCCGTGCTGCCTTGTTGCCTCACTGCCGTGATGTTTGCTGTGTGCTGCGCATAGCCCCGCCCTGCTGTTTGCCTCGTACTTTGGCTGCCCTACGCCCTCTCCCATGCCCTCCAGGCTCCAGCCTATGAACCTTGCAGTTGCTTGCTATTCAGTGCCACATTGCCCCATCCTTGTCTTGCTGCTCGTGATGTCACCAGATGGCCGTCCACTTACAATAGGGGTTAAATGGGATTATGACTCGAATTATCAATATGGGGATTCTGCTGACTGTCAGGAGTTCAACCTCCTGATGAGTCAGGGCAAGTCCGATAAAGTGATGGTTCATTTTGTCTGTGGTCTGGTTCATGGGAAAACTGCTTTCTCCTAAGCATAGATGCTGCTCTCATGGCTGGGCATAGTCATTTCCTACCTTCCACTCAGGATGCATCTGTTCCATGCCTACAAATTGTCGTTCCTATTTGCGCCGATATAGTATTTCAGAGCTCCTGTGGATGAGGTCTCATACTATGATGCACCATTGTCCGCACAGACACATTCACACTTTCACACACACACACACACACACACACACATTCACACTTTCACACTTTCACACTTTCACACTTTCACACACACACACACACTTTCACACACTTTCACACACACACATGCGCAGACATGCTTATGGGGACAGATCGAAGTGCAGACACACACAGGGGAAGAGAGAGAGAGAGAGAGAGAGAGAGAGAGAGAGAGAGAGAGAGAGAGAGAGAGAGAGAGAGAGAGAGAGAGAGAGAGAG